TTTCCATTAAAAACATCACCGGAAAATTACAGCTGCTTTCATGAAACAAAATGATCCGCAAACACTGACTAGAAATCATTTTGAAAGCTTTTGTGTTAGCAGGTTCTTAAAGCGATCAATCTGTTTAGTGTTTGTCTTCCTTGTTTACCCTATTGGCCTAATTTTTGTCCATGGAAAAGAGCCGAAAGTCGATAATTACACCAAAGTAAACAGTCCTGTAATGAGGTTGACAAAGTTCTTCCTTTTGTGTACTCGGGGAAAAGAATCAAAAGACAGTTTCCATGTGATCTCGTCCAGAAACCGAGAGAAGGCTGGATGTAATTTGAACTTTTCGTCAAAAATTGTAATGAAGTATGTTTTTTTGACGAGTGCACGATAGGAAATTCGTATATCTGCCACTAAAGTATTTAAAGTTAAATTGATTAGAGTGGTTAGATCGGATTACTTTTGAGGGAAGAGGTTTACGTTGAAAATAGATCAAAATAAATGTCAACACTTCATTTAAGCTTGTCGCGACAATATTCTGCGGGCTGCACTCCGCGTGCGAGATCAAGAATTACTTTCATTTGTGGCGTTAACAAGCATTAAAGAGTAAATCCTAGTCAATATTAACACGGTCAATCAACATGAATATCAACGACGCAGGATACTTCGAAACACGTTTTTGCCTCGGATAGAGGTTTGTAGGACACTTGCGAATACTTCATTGCACGTTGTACCACCACTTTTCGACATCACTTTAAAACTACGAGGCAACCCAGGGTGGTATTGCAAAGAAATGTGCGAGACTCTAAACAGCATCATATGAGCCGTTATTTGTTTGCGGTAGCTAAATTCAATCCCAGATTTCCATATTGACAAAATTCAATTGAAAATTGAGTAACTTATGTCAAGAAGATCGAGACAACGAGGGCAATGTTGAACTTGGGAAAGCTGAGTTTTATCATTTGTTTCATTCAGGTCATAAATCAAAGAGCAGAAAGGAACAAAGAAAGAAAGATATTTGGGGATAATCTTGAACCTTGAATTTGTAACTATGAAAAACCCACATAATTTGTGTTTGGCGCCGGTGCGATCTATTGATTTAAGCTTCAATTTGAGGCGTACCTTCATTTTGATTGCGCATGCGTGCTAGCAAGAGAAACTAGTTTTACAAATGAGTAGTCTTCCGACTGCCTGAACGTATACACAAGTACGCTTTAATAACTGCTGAGTAAACACACACGTATTAAAAGGAAATAATATTTACCTTATCTTGCGCTTTATTCATGTTGGTTCAGAACCCGTTCAAACACTGCTAATGCAAGACCAAACATGATTTAAAAGAGTCTGCACTTAAATTCGTCTCCGCCATGTTTTAAATTTGTTTCAGTTGGAAAGTGATCAGATAATGCGTTCTCGTTTTTCTTCTGTGTCATTCACGTTAACATTGTTAATTTTTATTTGCATCAGAAGACTATCGGCTTTATTGGCATCAGCACTTATCGAATGAATCAAATTTCTTTCAGAGTTAAAAGCTTTTTGATTGATTTTCACTTGGAGATGATAATCTTACCGTGGATCTAATACTCATCTCCTTCAAACCTTAAAATCATTGCTCAACGGGAAGAGGCAAAGCTACAAGTTCTTCAAATAGATAAAAACAAATGACCCTCTTCACAGAAACAATACTGAAGTATATTCACTGACTAGACAAAGCAACAGTAATATTTTTATATAAAGATTCACTGAAATAAATGTATCCATTGGTTGATCATTGAGAATAATAATGGTTGAACTGGAGTGCCCTGCAGCCAGAGGGCCGTCGAATAGATCGTTATTTTCTCGATCGTTCTTTTTTCAATGTTTTTGGATCAGGTAATTGTTAAATCTACCTAGCCTGTATCTTGATGGCGAAGCTCAAATGCACGTATGCTGTGAATGTTTACGTGCGATTTAAAAACATTCCGTGTCATTCATAGAAATAAGCTTACTAGCTTGCAAAAGCACCGTTGACAATCTATATACGGAAATACATTAACTATTTGTCACCAGATCGGGAAAAGAAACAATCCTCGTAAGGATTCGACCCTTAGTCAGTATCAGTCATAGTCCTATGTTACGACAGAACTCGTCGGCAAGTTTGACTCATCAGAGGTTCATTATGTGACAAGCTTCCTACATACTCAGGATTAATAATGTCGAAAAGCACTTGTACGAAAGAAGCTGATACGAAAGATGGTGAACATCTTGAGTTCGGTTATCAAAGACAAAGATATGTTTTAAAAGTAACAGTCACGGGCGTGGTTAAAGAAGTCACAAAATATAAAGAAAACCAACCCTGTTGTCTTTGTGTGGAACTCAGAAGCCCCCCCAAAAGATTCCTATATCCAGCTTTTGAGCTACTTGGACATCATTTACCTGCCAAACTTTGCGATAGTCCTGCATCTGTATGTGGAACACCCGAATGATATAAGATAGATCGACGACGATAGAATTCATTGTGTGACTAATATTAGTTTTCAGGATAAACAAACAACTTTGAATTTGTGAATAATGTAGCTACTAATTTCTGCACGTAAGGCTTAAAGATGGGACTCAATTGAATACCAGACTCTCATAGATGCAAATGTAATATTTACCAACTCGTCAGCCTAAACCTTTGGTTAACTCGACAAAACCTCGTGGAAAAGTATGCATTTGAACGTTTATCTGCAAGGCTAAAGGACCAAAATCCCATCAAGTTCCTAAGAGTATTTTTAAACTCATATGGGGTCCCATCAGTACAAATAAACGACGCTTACCGCCTTCTTTCAGCCATTTTTTGTCTAAGAGGCTAGGTAGACAGATTCCCCAGTTATGCCACGTTAGATTAAACTTCGGAAAGTATGATATGCACATCTCGATGACATGCTGTGAAAAACAACACGCTGAATTTCCCAAATTATGATTGCGTTTTATTTGAGATTTTAGGGGCTGCCGAATATAACTTGAAGACCTCGAAATAATAAAAAAATCAAATTATTACTGAGGCACGTCGTATATTTTTGTTCAAGTTCCTGAAGTAATAGACAAATATTCAAAAACACTCGCCAAAACATGGTTCTCTTGGACAAAGGTAGACAACCAATAGACTGGCACAAATTACAAAACTCAGAGGTTACATGCTTCTGTTTCTATGCATCGAAGAATTCTCTCATTAAAATTTGCGTAACAGTCATAGTCACCACAAATGTATCGGTGATTACAGATAAAAGGTGATGTTTAGAACTTGAAATTTAATTTTCTTTCCAAAACGGTGACGATTTATTTTTTCATTCTTTATTTTTATGATTATTATCCTCTTTTGCTCCAAAGGCACATCCAGAGTTCAAAAGAACTTTCAGTATGAAACGTGGCAAAGAGGACCAATTACCATGAACACAAAAGGGAAACGTTTGGCTCCATTTCCCAAAATTTATGCAAACCCTGGAATTTTATGGCTTTGAGCCACTTTTGACCAGACTCCCTTTTTATTCTGAGTGCTCAAGAATGCTCTCCCAATTGCTGATTTTTTTAGCGCCATTCACTTAAAAACTTGACCACTGAGAAAAAAAACTTACTCTTACTTTTTGCATGAATTCAATGCAGATATGCAAACCGAGCTCTCGGGGCAATCTGATCAAGCACCTTAAGGCAATTTCCTATGGAGTGCAATGTATAAGCCTGGGTTCCATTTGTGTTCTCTTATTTCGATTTATGATTGATCTAAAAAACTTTGGCTGTTTCAACCAATCAGACCCACGACACAATCCTGGCCAATTACAATTTAATCACCTCCCTTTACCTGTGCTTGAGGACTTAAGCTCTCGTCGATTCCTCTTAATAGCTACTTATGTTCTGATTGGACGCTGTGGTTACTTCGACTTTGATTTGACTTCGTCGCTCGAAAAGTGCAGTACTTCAATTCCCCAAAACGCTGCTTCCTCAGGTGCAAAGTTTCAGGTTGTCAGTAAACTGCTTTTAAAATCCTCGCAAAACTGCCTCTATCTCGTTATCATCCTATTTTAAAAGGATTTCTGTAAAGTTCCATGAGACCAAGATGTCCTTATAATTTGTTATCAAGGTTGACCTCACATAACATGAAGCAAACACTATCAATAAACAATAAGAGCACGAATAGCAGAGAGACAGCTTAAAATCCATTATCCTGTGGCGATTTTTAACTGAACAGGAAATGTCACCTGAAGCTCGAGGCGCGCTCTAAACATCAAAGTCGCTATCATAAGTGGCGGCATCTTTGACAACAGCTCGTCTACTTTTGTTGAAAGGAAATCGAGAGCGGAAATTTTGTTGGAGTAAAACATGATATTCGTAGATATGGTATATTGGAGTTGAGCCATATGTCACCAACCCATTATTTTTATAGAATCTACCGATGAAAGTCTAGGTTAGGCCGGTGACCTGCTTTCATCGATTTTTCATTTGAATTAGTCTTCCCGAAGGAGACGAAAGAAAATGCGTTTTTTTTTGTTGCTATGAGAAGCAACGACTCTCGAAGAAGATCTGTAGCAGATAGCTTGATCAAGCATTATATTTCTGACTTAAAAACTCTCCTCAGCTCCAATATCCTTGATATATTTCTTTGCAAGAGGTCGATATCAACGGATGACTTAGATATATTTCTAAATCTAAACTTTCAACGATAACCGGTTGTTATCAGTTGTTGGAGAAAGTGGCGATGTCTTCAAAACTTCGGTAAAACTTTTTACTTCTCTTAATTCTCCCAATCGGCAATTACACCTGCTTGAATGCTAAGGATGGAGGGGTTCCAGATGCTCAGTGAAGTACTTACTCAAAATCTGAACTAAAACAGCCTAAAGCGACTAATTGACAGCTTCACTCTTCAGTCATTACTTACAACAAGCATTTCATTTACGGAAAAAAAAATTAAATGCTAGCTAAATTCCCGTCTTATGCTCAAACGAGAGCACTTTGAGGGAGAAGTTATTTTACAAAACGAAAAAAAGAAAATTCCTCACCTGTATTGTTCAACAGTTGTATCACGTTCAATTTCACCAAAAGTACTGAGTTGTTGAGCTCCTCTCCAAGAGTAATTCACATTTCCATGACACCAAATCTTTAAAATACTCTGACGCCTTCCTGATAAAGAAAACATTAATCCATTGTCCATTTAGAATGTAGGATCGGTGTAAACCAAGATTAATTTGAAGGCTACCGATCATATCTGCCTTGGGCGATATTGGCGGAAAAACGGCCACTCTTAGAGAACAACCTCGTGATTTAGCAGCAGATGATTTTCCTCTGGTGAGGAACTCCCTTGATATCAATGATCTCATCTGGCAGCCCCGAGTGACTTATTTTATCACGAAATAAATAGCGTAAAATCGCCAAGAGTCAGATCCATATTCATTTGTTCATCGATCGATTCATGACTGTATGACTAATGATAACGATCAGAATGTTGAGCCTAAAGTCTGCTGCGGCAAAGTCACCTCAAGACAATCGTTTAAGGCATCGAGGCGAGCTTCCTTCATCTGAATCTCAGCGATTTCGTGACCAGATTTTGAATTCATAATGTGTCTAAAGACTTGATTTTACTGCCTCTCCCGACCTCGCTGGTAATATTTTGACGGCCATCTATGTCCGTCTCTCTCTCTACAGGCAGTGGATTGAGACCAACTAGTTTTTATTCATTTTTTAGTCAAATAAATCACAGTTTTAAGGTATCATCGAGACATGTCCGTGTTGGAATTAAACCTTTACAAGAAATTAATCAAAGAACGAGGGCCTTAGGGGTTTTATAGTATACTAATTGAACTGGCTGACGGCAAACTTGTCTGATTCATCGGCCATATTTGCATCTGTTCAGTAATCAGCGTAAATTAAAATCGGTTGCCGAAATGAAATCAGTGAAATCAAGTCAGGTCTGAGTACTCGATTCCACCACTTTCTAGATTCTGTGGCTGTCTAAGAGCAACTTCAAGTTATTACATTGTTTATTGACCTTGAAGAGGTCAAACTTCCTAAATCCATAAAATATCCTAACCCTAATGCTCTACATATTTGATTCCGAACATGATTTTCCTTAGAGATGAGAGGCCAAGTCCGGCCAATTAAGAACGCACAGAGGTAGTAAATTTGATAAAGGGAAACAGCTCTAGCAGGCGACGATTATTATAGTTTCTATGCAAAATACAACAAGACTCCACTATTTGAACCTAGCACTTCTCGCCTTTGACTTGGAAAATTTTCGTACTTACCTGTCGAGCAATAACAACAGAAGGAGAAATAAAACTGATGGTTTGTAGTGATACAGTTCCAAACAAATGTGTTTAGTGTCCAAAAACACTCTAATTGCAAAATTTACTTTCGTGTAACTGTTCAAGATATAAAACTTATTCTTTCAAACTTTACCAGTATAAGCACGCTGTTTTATTGCTTAAATCTGCTCTTCATTCAGAATCATTTCATGGACCTTTTGTCTAAAATCTGGTAACTTTCACTTTCAGCTCGCTTACTTTGTATACATCTGTCGTGAAGATTTCCGGTATTGCTGCCACTGTTCCTCGAAAACTCGATATTGCGGAAGTAAATCTAAAGACGTTTTTAACGAGAAACTAAAGATTGTTGCATCCACTCAAGTCCATGATGTCGCATGGATGAAGCTGATTTTTCGTTTTCAACGTTGACGGATAATAGTTAAAATTGGTGTTATCGGTTCTCAGGATCTTAAGAGAACGAAAATAAAAGAAATTAAAAATTTTAAGAAGCAATTTTTAACCGGGGGTTTAAGAAAATTTTCCTCTTTTAGCAACCGAATTGCATCATGTGAAATGAAAGATGTGTTTGTGAAAAAGTATGAAAGAAAAAGGCTTTAGGATTTAGGATTTAGTTGTAATATGTACTCAAGTCTATGTTTGATTGGATGATAAAATCAATGAATCGATGGAGAAAGCAATATTCTGATGGGATACTACAACTGAGAAGATGTTATCTAGGCGCATAAATTTTATATTTACTGTTTTCGTTATTTAACCCAATGATCTGTGCCTACTTCGGAGTTCGACCCGATTGCATATTCAAAATGAAGTGTTTTTAAAGGAGACTTGTTTTGTTTTAGTTTTTGGCATTATCGAAATAACAAAGATATCTATAGATTATGGACCTCGGATTCTATTTCATCAACACGTCCTCTGCTTTAAATCAAAATCGCAACTTTAGCATCTATGCTTTCAGTTGAACAAAGTAACCGAAAGTATTAAAGATCATTTTGGTTAACTTAAAAATCATCATAAAAAGGCCTTTGTCGGATTTGTCGATCAAAATTTTCTCAGCAGTCTGTTACTCACTTTCTTAGCGATGTTTTCCCCGACGGCTAATGTCGAAACCTCCAAGGTATGACGAAAGGGGGCACGTTTAACAAAAACTGTAGCATGCGCCTGTGTTATGCTCCAGCTAGATCTCTCTCTAGTAAATAGGTTACATATATCAAGTAATTTATTGGTAAATTTCCTCCAATTAAATTACTTGTATCTCAATTGAAAACCTTAAACCCAAACAATGGTTGGTAAAAAACATGAATATGCTAAGTACTATTTCGAATTATTCATTAGTGACCGAGGAAAACAAGGATTAATTGAAATATTAGAGGAAGGAACTTTGTTCCCCTTTAACACTGATCAGTCACTTTTTATTACACTGAATTCAACAAAGCGAGAGAGAAGAATAAAATTCTTAGATTCGTTTTCAGTAAACCGAGGAAAAACGTGAGGTCTATGGCTCAGACAGAGATTATTACTTTGAAGAAAAAAATCTTATCTACTTGAAGAAATCTTGTAATGGGTGTAAAGAAATTAAAGGTAGGCATTCAAATTTGATGAGGAGTGGGAAGTTACCATGATGTAAAATTATATTTTTCAATTCATGGGATAATTTTCTTCCATCCTGCCTTTCTTTAGGAAAGCTTACACTTGGCCAAGGGAATATAAACTGCTATATTCTCTTGACTCGGCTTTATTACTCGGATTTTAGCAGTGAGGACAATGCTAAAACTTAAATATTTGGACTCAGATGGTATCATTGCAAGGCTCAACTATGCGAGTAACATTTTTTACTCAGTCTGTAAGGTAGTTTTAAAACTTACCTCGATGTTTTGACACGTGATCTCATTCGGCGGCATTTTTTGGTATACAAAATTTCGTGAATATTATGGGAAAACGGCAGTGAAAGTAGAGTAAGTGAATTAAGGAGAATAATGTAAAAAAAATTCATGATAATAATGAAATGTGAGAGTGACGGCATCCAGCTGAGTTTGCAACAGACGACAAATGAAATTTTTTCCTTTCAAACACCACAATCTACCAGGCCATTAATAAATAATACCCTACGTTAAAATAAAATACACAATAACATTAGCAGCGGTTAGGACACCTGCTCTTTAATTAACTTTTACTGTCAACCGAATGGTGCTGTAGTTAGAGATAAGAAGCTGCAAATAGGAGATAGATCTCTTTGACAAGCTAAAATAAGTTGCGGGCTACAGAAAATTCCCACCGCATGTCTTAGAGTCGGATTTTAACCACAACAGCCTTACACATTCACGACATTTGACTCATTTCATTAACTTTTGGTCTGATTCATATGAGCCGTGGGCGCCGCACTTTTCGCTGCAGCAATGCCTTTTCTCTCTCTATTTTATCCTAGGAAACAAAAGAATATGGCCTTAGCGGTGACCTTAACGCTACTAAAGTACTGATAACTAGAAACAGACTTCTTTCGGACAATCGAAGAATCTTTCAATCAGCCCAAACTCTATTGAGAGGTGTAGGATTTGTTTTGAGCCAGACGGAAAGATTTCTCTGAGATAGAGCATTATCTGAATTTTGGACTGTGAACGTTAAAGAAATTGTTGGAAACTGGACTAGCATTTTATCCTAATGGACTCAGGATAATAGAACCCTTGTGGGGGCAGAAAAGTTGTGATCGCCAGAACTCTACACAACAGCTATGCTGAAATCACTGATCATCCTTGCAATCTGATTGGCTCCGAAACGTGCGATTTATTGACAAATCGCATTATATTTTGCTCTAAAACGCATTTTTTCCCAACCAGCGAGAAATCAACACTAAAAACAAAATCAAGAGTTCTTCATTTGCAAAAAAATGAAAGATAGAGAAGCCATGGCAAATTTGTAGCTTTTACCTCGAAAATGTTCTATCTTTTTTCCTAAAAAATAGAAACTGAATCGCGCAATAAAAAAACATGTTTTTGACAAGTTATGCTCCATGCTTATCAGACTTGACTAAGGTTCTCTTTTAGTTCTATTAGTTTGATACTGGTTTCTCGATACATGAATGGGAAGAGTATTTTGACAGGTTAAAAACCGACACCGAGAGGTAAAAAATTTGTAAAAGCTTAAGCATAACACCGTATAGGCAAGGGTTCGTCTTAAAAATATTAAAATGTATGTGACCTTTAAAGTCGAACATGAAGAAAGTAAACACTTTTATGCTAAGAGTCATTTGGATAACTGGTTATGGATTTTTGCCCAATGCTCTCTTGAAAAAAAAAAGACTGAAATGTCTGAGGTGTACATGACTTAACAAAGTGTCGACATTGACGAAGGATATTCTTATATCGAGGGGCAAAAGCTCTAACGAAGTGCTTCAGCAGTGAACGAACAGCGCAGTTATACTAATATATCTTTTTTTTAATATGTATAAACATCTCCTTTTCTTGAATTTGGACACATTTAGTTCTGTACCTAGGAACCGGGATTCATTTGTTGCCTTGTTATTCCTGAATTCGTACCCACCTTAGAGTAAGATCGACATATTGTAATTATTTTCTCAAACTCTTTCCTTATCAAATGAGTCAACCCTTGCAGACATGAAAACACGTCCCTCCACAAATTTAACCCATTCACTTCGCCGAGAGGAAAGAAAACGGTTCAGAAAGTTTCCTGTCACTCCCCTTTTGCTCCGCCTTTCTCTAGGATCAAAGGTGGTGACGTCCACTTAAGTTAACTAACCGAGGTCGAGATACCTGTGCATTTTCCAGATTGATTTAACTATTTACGTCCATGAAAAACGATTCTAGAAACTTTGGTAGTCAACTAAAACACTAATTTCAATTTACACTTGGATTTTATCAAACAGCTAGTTTTCTGTAATAAATAATGAAGCGCTAATTACACTGCAACGGAGATCGCATACACAACTACCAGAACCGACGGCTTTCGTGGTGCTTCCGCAATTAGATTTGTATCAAATCAATGAGCCCACCTAAGTCACTAAAAACTGAAAGTACAAGATCATAATATGTATATATTCTGAGAAATTGAAGAAAGCTGACTGATCATTCTTCAAAGTTTAAGTTCAGTTGGCACCATTACAGGCTTTATTCAGCTTTCCCTTTTCAATGTTTTTTTTCATTCGTTCTCTTCTTTCCTCATTAGCTTTGTGTGAAAAGTACAGATGACATAAGGAGACATTTTAATAACTATTTTTCTGTTGGAGTCTATGATTTTTCAACCAGAACTCGGATTAATAGACAACTTTACCGGAAAACGATAAACCAAGAATGTTATTTAAAATGAGCTGATGAATTTTATATTGCTTTTCGATTTCTCACTTTTATACAAGAAATTAAGTGAGCAAAAACTATTCCAGGCGAAAGAGAATTAAGGCTTGGTTCGCGGCTTTTGTCCGCCATGATGTTTTGATCAATGCGGTAAATGTTCTTTAAAGTTCGTTGAATCGGGAATAAAAATTCATCTCCATGTCCTCGCTAGATTTCTTGTGGCGTGAATAAAAGTTATTTCATAGCATATAACAGCTGAGGAATTAGCGAAATCCTAATAAAGTAAATAAAAGAATTAGAGCTAAAAAACCTTACTCAGTTTCTGCTCTGGTTCAAAATTCTCCCGCAACATTCAAAATCCAAGTCGGTTTTTGGCATTGTCCCTTTGATGTTCAGCATTGTGTTTTGAAGAGACTCTACCGGTAATGAGTGGGCAGATCTATGCGGAGGATATAGTTTGTGCGGCAGGTGGAGGAGATCATTTACGAAAACAAATCATTTAGTTTACTTCCTCTTTTCCTCGAAGCTATGACAACTGGTAATAAGCCCAGAGCAAGTATTTTTTTAAAGCCTTCAAAAAAAGGCCTAAATGAGCGGCATAGCCGAAGCAAAGGATTTTAAAAACTATTCACTATGCAGGGAACTTCATTAACTTAGCTATTCTTATATTTTTCCTTCATCTGTTTGGCAGATGTTTTTTTTTTTCCCCCGAGGAGTGCTATTAAATGAGCTAAAACCTGAAACGAGCATCGCTGAATTTGCCGCGGGAGACTCTGAAACCGTATTTTTGTCCTATTTATTTAAAGATATGTCCACTTATGGTTTGCCACTAAATTGTTTAATTCTTGTCCCTATGAGTTTTTATCGTTTATTTATTTCTTTTTTGGAATCGGTACCTCGTATGTTCGAAAATAGATTTTAGTTGGTATCCTTTCGTACGCCACGGTACGTTCTTCGTCAATGCCCGTCCACAGTTAACAGAATGAAATTGAAAACTCAGCTACATGTGTAATACCCAGCGCGTGCAGCGTGCAGCGTGCAGCGTGCCAGTACCAACATGTGCATGAACCTCTTTATAATTAACTCAATATAGCTGTAGTGAAGCGCCTTGTGAGAAAATTTGTTAACCATTTTCTTTATATGTTGATGAGTTATTAGCTTATGTCTTTTCTTATTTTTTCAGTAAATGTCAACATTTATGCTAAGGTTTAGTCTAGTCACCGTCTTTTAGAATAACGGTAGCGGTTAGTGGTTAGCGACATTTATTTGGTGGGCGCAATCACACAGGCAAGTTATTCCGACGGGTTGACGGTAAAATAGGAGTATGCTCCAAAATAGTATGTAATTTTTATATATCCACCATTAAAATGTATAGCAATTTACTTCTTACCACGTTTCGAGGATCCGAATAGCCTTTCGACATATTGTCGTCAAATTTGCTCAAATTAACATATGAACGTCTCAATTTTAAAAACAACTTGACAAGCCGCACAAACAAAAAGAAAACGAACCGTTCACAAAGAAAATCCGCTGTAAGATGGAAATGATAGCGGGCCTCGGTACGTCACAAGTCAAGCGAGTAAGCAAACAAACAAAGCAACAAAGCAATGGACGGGCAAAAAATTAGCCTTGTCAGAGAGAATGATGGATCTTTTTTATTTCTTTAATATATAAGTTATTAAATATTAGTACGTCTACGTTACTGGCTGTTTTCGTAGTATTTACTCGTAACACCATAAGAGTCATAGCATGCTGTGTTGCTCTCACTCAGTTTTGCGTAATAATGGTTTCTTTTACTTCTTGTACTTTTAACATAAAGCTATCGGCGTTCTATCACAAATACTGAAATCTTATTGATTACGCTACTCGCTATCTATTCCGTGATAGACAGTGAAAAGGGGGGAGTAACCCAACAGTGCGCGCGGCTAGAAAACTAAATGAAAGAAAAACACCAGTCTGTCCCGCTTTTAAGTTTTGAACGACCAGTACATAAATGCTAGTAGAAAAGGATTATGTGCTCTCGCCGCTATGCGTAATGGCTGATTCAGGCTCCGCACTCCTCAACTGCCACGCGATGGAAATCTCACATCATAATGTAATAGGGTCTACTTCTAGTGAGGAACTGCATGGTAGTTGAACATCATCGCTTGTGAACCTTTATGGGCATCTCACACAAAAATTTGGCACGCTCCTTAGCAGGAACGTCAAATAATGTCACGGGCATTGGATAAACTTGATATCACAGATAGATAAATCAGTTACCTGTGTCTGAGGATTAGTTAATATGCAAGAGAGGATATATTTTTCCATTCTTCTTCATATCATGTGATACTACTGTCATGAATATGATTGCACTCAAAGCCTTGACTTCACTTTATCGTATTTTTACGAGCCAGTCAGTTTCATTTTCTATTGTTATCGTCCATACTTGTCCAATCGAACCAGGCTCTGCTCTCGAAGGTTTGTTGTCAAACTTCAGACTATTTCAGTCGTTTCCATGTTATAACGAGGAGATACGAAGATTGCTCCACCCTTTATACTTTTGAAAGTTTCATTTAGATCCTCAATCTTCCTCTCAAGATCGTTCATCTTGTCTTGGTTTATGCAGTCCGTGATCAGACTAGCTCTAGCCAACGTAATAGAAAAATCGCCTTTTCTCCCTGTGGGAGGTAATAATTATTGTT